CGGGGCCTCCTCTGGACTCTCTCCAACAGCTCCATGTCCTTCTTGTGTTGGGGACCCCAGAACTAGACACAGTTCTCCAGGTGGGGTCTCACCAGAGCAGAGGGGGAGAATCCCCCCCCTTGACCTGCTGCCCACACTGTTTTTGATGCAGCCCAGGACATGGGGGGTTTCTGGCCTGCAAGTACCCATTGCCAGCTCATGGTGAGATTCAGAAATAGCTCATCTGAAGATCATTTATAGATTTAACCCCTCTGCTTGGGCAGGGACACCTCCCATCCCACTAGGCTGTTCAGTGGCCCATCCAACCTGCCAATCTTGGACACTTCCAGGGATGGGGCTTCCACAGTTTCCCTGGGCAACCTGTTACAGTGTCTCCCTCCCCTCACAGTGAAGCATTTCCTCCTAATGTCTAATCTCAGTTCTGCTTGAGCTCATCATGGAGAGGCAGCAGGGACCTCCCTTCCTGGCAGGGGCTGAGGAACCCCATGCTGCCAGGAGAAACCCCTGGCACAGCAGAGCAAACCCCATCCTGCCTGTGCCCAGAGACTCAGTCAAGGAAATCTGGTCCTGCCTTTGGAGGAATTCCTTCTCTTGCTGCCTGTGTGGAGACTGCAGAGTCACTCCCACTGCAGATGGACACTCACCTCCTCCAGCACTGCTGACAAATCCTCCCTGATGGCTTTTCTATTTAGAGCCCGGGCTGCTGTGCTCAGCTGTGCAGCCTGGAACACAGCTTTGAAGAGATCACCAACCTCTTAAGTGTGATTTAAAGCAGCACAGGCCTGGGACAGCCACCCTGACACAACCAGAGGTTTGCTCAGATTATCTGAGCCATCAGTTTTTGAGCTCACACAACATTTTTAATGCAGCATGAAGGAATTTGGAAGGAGGGAAAAAAAAAAAAAGGTCACAGAATTAAAACTGAGCACGTTCCTGCTCTACCACAGGAACACATTTCAGTAGCTTGTGGAAGAATCTGATGATAATTTAGCCCTGAAGCAGAGGCCAGCAGGAGGGAAGAGTACATCTGTGCCCTGAGGAAACATCTAACCCACTTAGGAAAACGTCAGCTTATCTACACCTTCAGAGAACAAAGATGTCTCAGATAATCTTGAAGGCGTTTTCCTAGTGGACTGAAAGGCAGAGGGCAGGGAGGGCTGCACCAGCAGAACCAGCTCTGGAGGAAGAGGATTTACCTCGGGGACATTCAGCCCTTCCATGCGCTCCATCTTCTCTGTCTCCCCAATCAGGACCCGCAGCGCGGCGTCAGCTGCCTCCTGCTTGCCCTGCTTCTTACTGTGTGCAGTCACAGCAGGGAACCAACGGCCTCCAACCTTTGCCTGGTAGACAAACCTGGAAAGACAGCAGCACCACCCTGAGAAACCAAGAAACCTTTGGATTTCAGTCTGGGGTTTAACTTCTCTCAGTGGAGAGGAGCAGAGTTTGTCATCCAAGGCTGGGCAGAGGCAGCAGCTCGGCCTCGTGCCATCTCGAACTGCATCAGGAATTTTGCCTTCTCTGCCCTTTCTCCAGGACAACAACGTTGCAAAACTTCCTCCTGGACAGATGCAGCTACTTACTTAGGGTCATGGGGAGGTCCTGACTGGTCAATGAGTTTGAACTCTGCAGCAAAGCCATTGGAGCGGGCGTATTCCAGCAGGCCACTGACAGGGTTGACATTCAGGTATTTGATGAGCTCCCCAACACCCTTTGCTTTTGCCACCTTGGATTCATCTGGAGTGGCAATCCATGGTCCACAGCTGTGCATGGACTGGTCCCCAAGGGGCTTCACCACAGGCTAGAGCAGAGTCAGACAGGAGAAGGTGGTTAAATCCTGAGCAGTTGGTGTTATCACAGACCAGCAGTGCTCAGCAAACCCCTGCTGGAGCCTGTGTGGGACCACGTGGGGTGAAATCCAGTGGAGCATGAAATAAAGGGTGGGGAAACCCAACCCAAAACACTTGAGTCTTACAAAGAAGCTCTTTGTACCTGTTCAGGCAAGACATGAGGTACAGACTCTCCAGAAAGGATCTTCACAGCAACTTCTGCTGCCATTTGCTTTGCTCCCTTCTTGTTGTTTCCTACCACAGCAGGGAAAATTTGGTCACCCATTTTCACACAGTAGCTGAACCTGACAGGACATTATAGCACATGAAAAGTGTTAAGCATTGATGCCTCCACCTCTTTATTACCCCCTTTCTCCCAGTACAAGTTAAATCCGAGTCATCTCCAATTTAATCTACCACAATGACCCTAAATACTCCCAGTAGAGCACTACCAGGTAGGGGGCAGGACTGGAACCTGATCCTGGCCTGGAAGAAGATAAAGTATCTTTCTCTGAGACAGGGCATTGGTTTTGGTCTCTTTCTGGAGGCAGATGTCTTGGAGAAGCCATGCCCAGACTCCCTGGATACATGTCCAGGAAGGTGGGCAGCATGTTGAGGAGGAAGGGTGCTCCAGAAAGGGCTCCTGTCCCCCTCAAAGCTGACAACAATGTGCCATACCTGGGATCGTGGGGTGGGCCTTCCTGAGAGAGCAGCTGGAATTCAATTGTGTTCCCTGATTTCTGTCCATACTCTGTTAACAAGCTGATAGGGTGTTTCCCAGAAAGCAGGTCGAGAGGAGCTGGAGCTGAGGGTGGCTCTGGCTCTGGGTGTGAAGGCTACAGAGAGAAGAAGGAGAAAGTTGTGGATGCTCCATCCCTGGAAGTGTCCAAGGGCAGGCTGGATAGGACTTGGACAAACCTGACCTAGTGGGAGGTGTCCCTGCCCATGCAGGAGGGTTGGAACTAGATGATCTTTAAGGTCCTTTCCAACCCAAACCATTCCATGATTGTATGACTCCACGAAGCCAGTTTCATGCTAAGCACTGTCTGATCACTCTCATACATAAAGAAAACAAGACTCACCAGGTCCGGTTCACAGCTGTGGAAAGAAGATTGGTCTTCACATTTAATCCCACTATGTCCTCCATTCTCTGCTTCACTCATCAGGACCTTCATGGCATTGGCTGCTGCCTCCTGCTTAGCCAGTTTTTTGCTCCCTGCTTCTGCTGGTGGGAATCGGCGCCCATTGATCACTGCCTGGAACTTGAAGCTTTGAAAGAGAAAATCAGAGAGGTAAGTTGAGAGGAAAAAGTGTGACCTGAGAGCAAGCTGCTCTTGGAATTCAAGCGGAGAGGACTAGAGAGGGTTCAGAGAAGGGCCACGAAGATGATCAAATGGCTGGAGCAGCTCTGCTCAGGAGCCAGGCTGGGAGAGTTGGGGTGTTGAGCCTGGAGAAGAGAAGGCTCCAGGGAGACCTTAGAGCAGCTTCCAGGGCCTGAAGGGGCTCCAGGAAAGCTGGGGAGGGACTTGTCACCAGAGAGGGCAGTGACAGGACAAAGGGCAATGGTTTTAAACTGAAAGAGGGGAGATTTAGGTTGGACATCAGGAAGAAATCCTTCACCATGAGGGCAGTGAGGTGCTGGAACAGGTTGCCCAGGAAGGTTGTTGATGCCCCCTTCCTGGAGGTGTTCAAGGCCAGGTTAGATGAGGCTTGTGCAGCCTGGACTGGTGGGAGGTGTCCCTGTTCAGAGCAGGGAGGTTGGAACCTGATGATCTTTAAGGTCCTTTCCAACCTTAACCCTTCTATGACTCTAAGTTGAAGGAGCAGCCAGCTCCTGGCTGGGAGAGCCAACTCAGGCTGCCATGTGCAGAAGACAAGAACACGACGGGTGCCCCAAAAGCTCTGCATCTGGGCCTTGTTCCACTGTGTTTCCAGAGCTGTTCTAGCTCCAGATTTTGTTTGGAAGGAACAGGATGAATTGCCCTGTTCCACAAGCACCAGAGAGGTGAAGTGGCTGCAAAAGCAGTTTGGTTACATCTCCTGAACGGTGATGAAAAAAGCTTAAGAGCAGCCTGTGCTGTTCCAGCTGCACCTGGTCATTTGGGGTCACTCATCCCTCTGGCAATTTCCCTGGCTCCCCAGGGCATTCGCACCATCTCAGAGAGCTCCTGCCTCACATAAACCTCTTGCCTCTGATGTCTGTGTCTCTCTTCCCCCATGGAACCCTGACAAACACAGCCTTCTGTCCCCCAGCCCCTGTGCAGAGGAAATTTGCTTCCAACAAGAACGGGTCAAACCCAGCTCTGGAGAGGGGTTCTGGGGCTGAATCCACTCAGATCCCTCCTTGCCAAAAAAATAAAACAGAGCCTGGGACTCCATCTTTAGAAATGAGGCCAATTTTCCTGTCTAGCAGCTCTATTGACATATCCCAGTGTGGCACAGATGGTGCTTTTCACAGTCTCACTGGTGCTTCCAGGGAAGGCAGGACCCCAGGGACTGACTGAGCAAACCTCAGTGTCATGCTCAGTGCTCTGCTCACAGAAGCTGCTCTGACCTGCTCTGTCAGAGGTGGCTCAAGCTGCCTTCACCTCATCTAACCCCAGATATCTGCACTGAGCACTTGGTTCTGGGCTCCCTTCATACCACTTCCAGGGCAAGAGCATCTTCAGAGGTAGCTGAGAAATACCAGTTTCCCCCAGTTTGAAAGCCAAGTGATTAAACAATCTCCAAGCTGGACATCATGAATCTCACCTTCACTGCTCAGAACCAGGTGCAGGGTTGTCAAAACTGAGCTACCTGGGGTTAAATTTTAGGCTTTATTGTTTGTTGTTTTGTTTTTTAAGGTGCTGCTGCAAGGAATCAACCAGGATAATCTTCCTAAGATGAAGTCAACATTAACAAGCAGGCCCTTAAGGACAAGGTTGTATGGGTGCAGTTGGTTCAAATCTTTAGTGTGAGGGTGGGGAGAGCCTGGGCCAGGTTGCCCAGGGAAGCTGTGGCTGCCCCATCCCTGGGGGTGTTGAAGGGCAGGTTGGATGGGGCTTGGAGCAGCCTGGGCTGGTGGGAGGTGTCCCTGCCCATGCAGGGGTGGGACTGGATGAGCTTTAAAGTCCCTTCCAACCCCAACCATTCTATGACTGATGAAGTCGGATCATTGTAAGCAAAAAGCCAGCTCAGGAAAGGGAGACAGTTTTCTTACCGTGGCTCGTGAGATGGTCCACTCTGCTCCAACATGGCAAACTCACACTGCTGGCAGGTGAACTGGGAGTACTCGGTGAGGCCGCTCACCGGGTTCTTCTCCTGACAAGCCAGGAGTTTCTCTACTGGTGTGCATGGGAAAGGAGCTTCAAACTGGGCAGCGTAACTGGGGGAAGACTGGGAATTCATGATGGATTCCGACTCATGGGGCTGCTTGTTGATGGCGTTCAGGTTGTCTGGGATATCATCTGTGGCCCACTCACCATTTTTTGAGTTATCATAATTACTCAAACTGGAGAATTCTGGCTTAATGTCCTCGAGCAGGGCTGCTTCTGCCTCACCATTGCTCTGCCCCATCTGCCCCACTGCCTGCTGCCCATTTTCCAGACCTCCTTCTGATGTTGCTGCTGGTGAAGCCACAGGCATCTCCTGGGGACACACAGGGACAGAGGAAGGTGGAAAACCTGCCTCAGGAGTGGGATCTGCTGCCTGCAGCACCGCACTGGCTTTCAGCCTCATTTGCATCCGCTCGCGCTTCCTGTCTGTCAGGGACCACAGTGGGGGGGTCGTGTTCTCCTTGTGGACATCTCCCAGCTTCTCCAGAGCACTGAGGAAGGCATTCACATCCTTGGCCCTGGAAAACCCGATGTTTTTGGCAAGGTTGAGCGCTGTTGTTTCTGCCACACTGAACAAGTAGTTGCAGATTTTGTCCTTGGTCTCAGCCATGATGGGGTCGGTGTCTCCTGATCCCACCGTGCTCCTCTCCCCAGCTGGATCCGTGGGGGCCCGGCTGTGCCCAGTGGGGCTCCTCTCTCTCCCTGCCTTGGGGCTGGCAAGGCTCCACAGGGGTGGTGTCCCCCCCTCTCTGTGCAACTTCCCCTCTTGGCAGAGTTTGTACAACACACGGTTGACCTCTTTCTTTCGGGTGTTGAGCTGACGGACAAGATCGTGAACTGTCCGAGTCTCCCCCTCGCCCAGCCGCCTGAAAATAGTCAGAACTTCTTGTTCACAGTCTTGCTCAGCAAGAGACAATTTCTGGAAAATCAACCTGAAGGTGTCAGAACCTCTCTCGGAGTCCTCCTGGCGACGGTACCGAGGAGGGCAATAACGTGGGAAGGGTTTTCCTAGCCAGGGATGTTGGCTGGGGTGCCCGTGCCCCCCGGCAGCCCCCGGGCCGGGCTGCCCGCCCCGCGCGAGTCCGACGAGTCCTTCAGGACGGGGTCCCTGGCCCTGCAGCAAACAGCCTTCTGTGTCCCGCTCCGCTAGGAACTGCCGGTGTAAAAAGGTTTCCTGATTAGTTTTCCGTGGGTAATGAGGGCGGGTAGAAAAACCTTGGTTAGAGCTGGGGTGGGGATGCCTGGAGCGGGTGAGATACGAGCCTCTGCCGGCGCCTCTGCTCATATCGCTGTGCTGGGCTGGGAACGGGGCCGGGGCCGCGCCAGAGTGGGAGCTGCAGCTGGATCTGCAGCCTCCCAGCTGGACCAGGTGCCTGTAGGAGGGAATAAAAACACTATTCAGAACCCACTGACATGAGGAGAGGATTTCAGAAAGGCAGCTGAAACAGCATCCCTGTTCCAGAGGTGTTTCAGGCATCTTCACCTCCGCAAGCTTTCCCATTTCCAGTTACTCATGGAAACACAAATGGGAATTCTGTGTCTGCCCAGCACAGAACAGAGAAACCAATTCAGTAAGAACCACCTTCTGCTTCCATCTGATTAAATTCCAAGCTGCACGGGGGCTGTTCCTGATGCCTCCCATGGAAGGCTCATCTTGCACTTCCCAAACACAAGAATCTCACTTCTCTGCCTCGAGGGGAGAAGGATCCCAGAGAACCTGCAGTTTCTCCAATCTTGGCAATCAGAGAAAAGGGGCTGCAGGGGGTGAAGCTGCTGGGTCACACAGGACAGAGCTGCCATGGGGGTTTCAGACTCCTGGAATCATGGAATAGTCTGGGTTGGAAGGGACCTTAAAGCTCATCCAGTCCCACCCCTGCACGGGCAGGGACACCTCCCACCAGCCCAGGTTGCCCCAAGCCCCATCCAACCTGCCCTTCAACACCCCCAGGGATGGGGCAGCCACAGCTTCCCTGGGCAACCTGGCCCAGGCTCTCCCCACCCTCACACTCCACAATTCCCTCCTCAGCTCCAACCTCCAGCTCCCTCTCCCACTTTTCATCCCTCCCTGCCCTTCCATCC